GTTTAGACTGAGCACAATCAATGATGCCCAATCAATCTGCCCAATGTGTGTTCTGTTCCACCTAATTATAACGTCCCATCGCATCAACCCTACTACACGCACATGTCGTCACTCTAGCACGACTTGTGTTATTATTGTTTATTTTGATTCGCACGATAAATAGAGCACAATAAACGTTAACTTGACCGAAGGTTAAAGGCGACTGCAGATAGAGGAACACATCAAGGTACAGGTACCGGCATCAATACAGTATCAGAGAGAAACAAACAAAAATGAGAGATACGCAGAAAAAACTCTCGTAAGCCCAAGGGGAAGTGGTTGATGAGGGATGAATGCACTCTCCACGCTCATCTACACTGTTCGTGGAAATGCACACATACATACAATAATATACAACATAGCAATAGCATGCAAAGAACCGAACAATTTCCTGTTCACACATGCAAGCACAGACCTGAACATTAGTACCAAAAGCCGATACAGACAATATCCCCATACACACAGGGGCACACACACACACACACACACACACACACACACACAATGTCCCATGTATGCGCCCGTGGCGAGAAAAGCACGCAAATCTACAAATGCACTGGATGTGAATCCACAGATTTTCTCTTATAGCAACGATAGCGGATCTGATTCTGAATGAAACACACACACAATACAATCATTGAATGCCCATCCGCAGATGATGGCAGGTCCTGAAAGAACAGGCAGTGTTCCAGTGATGGGGAACAGAACTTCGAGTGGCGAGTGAGGTATACACACACACACACGTGCGTGCGCGGGCACACACTAAAGTATTCAGAAATATAATCGACATCGTAGTATTCATTGGTGGGGAATGGAAAGGAAATTAAAACATTGCTGTAGGTTATTGTTGAAGGACACTGGGAGCACAACAGAAAGGTAAGCAACTTGCTTTGAAGCAAAGCAAGTTATTATTCCACGGATCTCAGAAGGAAGGAACGTTCCAGAATGCTGCACTGGCAACAGGCGGCCTGCATGTGCGCGGCCCCTGCAGTCGGTCCAGCTGCCGGCCTTGCAGTGCTGAAAAGAATGTGCAGTACAGCATGTCACAGAGTATCGCAGCCTGGACAAATAGGCGCTGGGAAGTCCTAGTTATGTGCTCACCTACACCACGATGCACCAATCTTCTGAGCTACTTTGGCAACAACTTTGTCCACTTGAGACTCCCATGGGCTGAGCCAGTTGTTGAGGGCTGCACCAAGGTGGACGGCAATGACCGCTGATGGCAAGGCAATCCATGACACACAGTCACTAGGGCATCGTCAACATGGCGCTGAGGCTGCCTGGATCGATAAAATCAACCTTTAGGCTGCCGCGGGGTTGACGAGGCCGCTGTCTCGAAGCTAGTCAGTCAGCCTGGTCACCGCCATTGACGAACCAGTCGCCACCGCCAGCAGTGGCGGTAGGTTGTGACAAGTGTGGTGCAATATTGTCAGCAAATTCAGTACTCAGGATAAGATGAGTGACGAAGGGAACGTTGTGTTTGATAATATTGAAGTGAACAGGGATGATCACAAACCCTGCGCGTACTCCACCGTGAGTTACAAGAAAATTCCGGACTGGACGACGAGCAAACCTCAACCTGCTACATCCAACCAGGCAGATACTATTACGATAGCTGCCAAACCAGGTCAATGCCGACCTACTGCATAATGTCAATGTCAAACAGATCCTGCAGGAGAAGACTGGGGTGTTGGCGTCCAGTCACTGAGTGTACAGACACCAGTCACATTTCCTGCGTCTTTTGCAGCATACAGGATAGACTCATCACTGTAAAGTCCACTACTTCGTGATTTTTATTTGTAGAATACATGACAGGCGTATTCAGTGTGCCTCGCAGGACTGCGAGATGCTGCAGAAGACCAGGTTCGACCTTTCTGGACCGCCATTCACCGACGGTGGGCTACACGATGCTGGAGGAACTAGATTCCAGTTAGCCCCATCCCTCACACAAACAAGTCAACAAAGAGGCATCTTTGGATTGAGGAGTGCTGGTTTCGAAACAACTGGTTTGAAGCTCAAAGTAGAGCTGGTGTTAGCTCAGAGCAGAGCTGCTGTTAGCTCAGAGCAGAGCTGCTGTTAGCTCAAAGTAGAGCTGCGGTTAGCTCAAAGTAGAGCTGCGGTTAGCTCAAAGTAGAGCTGCGGTTAGCTCAAAGTAGAGCTGCGGTTAGCTCAAAGTAGAGCTGCTGTTAGCTCAAAGTAGAGCTGCGATTAGCTCAAAGTAGAGCTGCTGTTAGCTCAAAGTAGAGCTGCTGTTAGCTCAAAGTAGAGCGGCTGTTAGCTCAAGGTAGAGCTGCTGTTAGCTCAAAGTAGAGCTGCTGTTAGCTCAAAGTAGAGCTGCGGTTAGCTCAAAGTAGAGCTGCTGTTAGCTCAAAGTAGAGCTGCTGTTAGCTCAAAGTAGAGCTGCGGTTAGCTCAAAGTAGAGCTGCTGTTAGCTCAAAGTAGAGCTGCTGTTAGCTCAAAG